GTGTCTTGTTTGGGATGTATGACATGAGCGTGCAACAAGAAGATTAGCAGCGGGAACACTAAGAATGTTTTTAAAACTTCCAATTCAGCTCACAGAAGAGTGACAAAATTAACAAGGTATGGGGCTCTAAATTCAAATGTATAATAATTTCCATGGTTTAACCACTTCATGTCTGGGGGGCACACTTTCCCCCCCTTCCAGTCCGAACACTTTCACCCCCATTCCAGTCCGAACACTTTCACCCCCTTCCAGTCCGGACACTTTCACCCCTTCCAGTCCGGACACTTTCACCCCCTTCCAGTCCGGACACTTTCCCCACCCCTTCCAGTCCGGACACTTTCCCCCCCTTCCCAGTCCGGACACACTTTCCCCCCCTTGCAGCCCGTACACTTTCCCCCCCTGGCAGCCCGTACACTTTCAAACCCCCTTCCAGTCCGGACACTTTCCCCCCCCCCCCTTCCAGTCCGGACACTTTCCCCCTTCCAGTCCGGACACTTTCCCCCCCCTTCCAGTCCGGACACTTTCACCCCCTTCCAGTCCATACACTCCCCCCCCCCACCTTTAACCCCCTTCCTGTCCAGGCCAATTTTCAGCGCTATCACACTTTGAATGAGAGTTGCGTGGTCATGCAACACTGTGCCCATAGCATTTTTTTGAGACAGATAAAACTTTATTTTGGTGGTATTTATTCACCGCTGGGATTTTTATTTTGTTTGCTATATAAATGAAAAAGTCCAAACATTTTGAAAAAAAAAGTGTTTTTCTTATAACATTTTGCAAATAAAAATAATATTTCATCATAAATCTTGGCCAAAATGTATTCAGTTATCTTTTTAGTAAAAAGAAAAAAAAATAACCCAAATTAGTTTATAACCAAAAATTATAATTTCTCAATTTTTTTTTTTTTTTTACATTTTTACTTTATTTTTTTATATTATTATGTTTGTTTTTTTACATACCATCACCCTAGAAGTACACTGTCACCATAGTGATTTTTTTTTTTTTTTTTTTTTTACTGATTGCTTTTACACCCATAAAGGCTATAAAGCAATCATTTCTCTTTCTCTCTGTCTGCATTCTTGCAGCCATTGAGAACTACTGTGTGAGCTGTGATTGGTCACAGCTTGTCACATGGTACAAGGCTGTTGTGAATAGCCCTGTACCATGTGATCTCTGTGATCATTCACAAATTTCACACGTAGTAAGCAATGATGTCAGAAGTGAAATCTTGCTTACTACTCTGCATGTGATCACTGATTGGCCAATCAGTGATCACATGATCGGGACCTCACACAGAGGTCTTGTACAACTATTGGTGTTCCACAGTGTCCGGAGGACACAGCGGGAACCGGATTGCGGCCACCCGACCCTGCACTGCACTGCCAACGTCCGGCCGTTTATATACATGGGCCGGAAGGGAGGTGGTTAAAGTGATTACATTTATGTCCTTTTTTTCCCCACAAATAGAGCTTTCTTTTGGTGGTATTTTCTCACCTCTTTCCTTTTTTTTTTTGCGTTATAAAAAAAAAAAACCAAATCAACAATTTTGAAAAAAAAACAGTATTTTTTACTTTTTGCTATTATAAAAATATAACACACAATACAAACATGTAGAAAATACAATCAATTTATAAATTTAGGACACAATGTATTCTGCGACATGTCTTTGCCAAAATATATCCCAATACATGTAAATGAAAGGTATAGCATCTACAGATGGCAGTACATATACTGGAATTTTTTTGTTTTGATAGTAGTAATGGGCGATCAGTGACTTATAGCGGGACTGCGGCGGGCATTCTGACACTGGGGGGGGGAGTGACTAACTGCCACTGACATCCCCAGTGACACTAATACAGTGATCAGTGCTAATAAAAAGCACTGACATTGTACTAATGACACTGGGCAGGAAGGGGTTAACATCTGGGGCGATCAAAGGGTTAACTGTGTGCTGTGCCTGTTTTACTAGGGAGACATGCTGTGCAGAGAAATACAAAGCAGCATGTCCTTGCTGTCAGGAGAGAGACCTGTGTTGTTTACACACAGGTCTCTCCCCTGTCAGATTTACACGTCGGTCGCCAGGTGCCGGCGGGGAATCTCTTGCTGGGACCTGGTGATTGACATCCCTAGCATTACAAATGTAATGCAGGCATGTGGACCCTCCATGAGCATCAGAAGAACTGCCATACATTTCCCAGACATTTATGTAGCCCTAAGGGCATTGCTTACACGTGTGGGAGCCCTCTGAAGAGTGATCTTACATGGATTGCTTTTCAGAGGGCACTTGACAGACAGTGAGGCCTTTTCACTTGAATGGGAAATTACCACCAGCTGAACAGGGAGGGTCATTTTGCTGTGTGGCATGCAGGGGCGGACTGACCATTGGGAAACTCGGGCACTCGGTCAGTAGGGGGCCCCATGAGATGCCCCTGGTACCTTTTTCATAGGCTTTTTTGAGTTTGGGCAAGGACACAGGAGCCCCATGATCCCCTATTGCCCGGGGGGCCCCATGAGTTGTCAGTCCGCCCCTAGTGGCATGTGTATTCCCCCATATGACTGCCTTTGAGCCTTGGGAAGGGGGGGCATGTGGATGTGTGGGGGTGGTGTAGAAAAATGCAGCTCAACTACCTGTTTATACTCCCCCCTAACTCTAAGTGTAAACTGTGCCTAAACACATTTTTCTAGCTGAACAATCACTCCGAGCATTTCATCAGTTTTTCAGGAACTGGAATTATTACCTGAATTTACTGTTTAAAGTATTACTAATCAGTCTGTAGATGCAGTAAAGCATGCTTGTTATACTCACTGTGGAACCTAAGGGGTTATTCCTCTGCATTGTATAAAAAGGCTGTTTTTTCCTGACTTCTCTGATCCTCCCCTTCTTCCAGTGCCCCCCTCTTATCTCCTGATAAGACATATGTGTGGAGTCACTCTGCACATGCTCAGTTTGGTGTGTATTGTTAGAGAGTTTTTTTTTTTTTAATGGGAGAGTGCTTGTAATCAGCACAGGGCCAATCAGCACTGTCCAGACAGAGGATCAGGGATTCTGCATCTTCCTAGAGCAGAAAGAAAGCTTCTCCTCCAAGCATTAACCAGTGCTCTGCTGGACACTGATAGAAGTTACAAGACTGCTATATACTGCTGATGAGAAAAGGTATTTAGCAGTTTTATATTTACTAAAATAATTGCATTTTTCCATGTTGTGTGTACCGGGAGAGACCGGATATAATGAATGCAGGGTCCGGGGAGACCAGATATAGTGAATGCAGGGTCCGGGGAGAGCGGATATAATGAATGCAGGGTCCGGGGAGACCAGATATAGTGAATGCAGGGTCCGGGGAGAGCGGATATAGTGGATGCAGGGTCCGGGGAGACTAGATATAGTGAATGCAGGGTCCGGGAGAGCGGATATATAGTGGATGCAGGGTCCGGGGAGACTAGATATAGTGAATGCAGGGTCCGGGGAGAGCGGATATAGTGAATGCAGGGTCCGGGGAGAGCGGATATAGTGGATGCAGGGTCCGGGGAGACTAGATATAGTGAATGCAGGGTCCGGGGAGAGCGGATATAGTGAATGCAGGGTCCTGAGAGACCAGATATGGTAAATGCAAGGTCCGGGGAGACCAGATATAGTGAATGCAGGTTCCGGGGAGAGTGAATATAGTGAATGCAGGGTCCGGGGAGAGCGGATATAGTGAATGCAGGGTCCGGGGAGAGCGGATATAGTGAATGCACGGTCCGGGGGAGACCGGATATAGTGAATGCAGGGTCCGGGGAGAGCAGATATAGTGAATGCGGGGTCCGGGGAGAGCAGATATAGTGAATGCAGGGTCCGGGGAGAGCAGATATAGTGAATGCAGGGTCTGGGGAGAGCGGATATAGTGAATGCAGGGTCTGGGGAGAGCGGATATAGTGAATGCGGGGTCCAAGGAGACCGGATATAGTGAATGCAGGGTCCGGGGAGATGGATATAGTGAATGCAGGGTCCGGGGAGAGCGGATATAGTGAATGCAGGGTCCAGGGAGACCAGATATAGTGAATGCAGGGTTCGGGGAGAGCGGATATAGTGAATGCAGGGTCCGGGGAGACCGGATATAGTGAATGCAGGGTCCGGGGAGAGCGGATATAGTGAATGCAGGGTTCGGGGAGAGTGGATATAGTGAATGCAGGGTCCAGGGAGACCGGATATAGTTAATGCAGGGTCCGAGGAGAGTGGATATAGTGAATGCAGGCTGGGTCCGGGAGAGCGGATATAGTGAATTCAGGGTCCGGGAAGACTGGATATAGTGAATGCAGGGTCCAGGGAGAGCGGATATAGTGAATGAAAGGGTCCGGGAAGACCGGATATAGTGAATGCAGGGTCCGGGGAGAGCGGATATAGTGAATGCAGGGTCCGGGGAGAGCAGATATAGTGAATGCAGGGTCCGGGGAGAGCAGATATAGTGAATGCAGGGTCCGGGGAGACCAGATATAGTGAATGCAGGGTCCGGGGAGACCAGATATAGTGAATGCAGGGTCCGGGGAGACCAGATATAGTGAATGCAGAGTACGGGGAGACCAGATATAGTGAATGCGGGGTCCGGGGAGAGCGGATATAGTGAATTCAGGGTCCGGGGAGAGCGGATATAGTGAATTCAGGGTCCGGGAAGACTGGATATAGTGAATGCAGGGTCCGAGGAGAGCGGATATAGTGAATGCAGGGTCCAGGGAGAGCGGATATAGTGAATGAAGGGTCCGGGAAGACCGGATATAGTGAATGCAGGGTCCGGGGAGAGCGGATATAGTGAATGCAGGGTCCGGGGAGAGCAGATATAGTGAATGCAGGGTCCGGGGAGACCCAGATATAGTGAATGCAGGGTCCGGGGAGACCAGATATAGTGAATGCAGGGTCCGGGGAGACCAGATATAGTGAATGCAGGGTCCGGGGTTTAGTAACACTTTAGAGATCAAATAACTACAAAATATACATTTTATTTATTTCAGTATTTTTTGTTAAGGCAATGTATAAAAACAACCAGACCACCATTACTGAAGTCATCCTCTTGGGATTCCAAAGTTCCAGAGAAACGAGCATTGTTCTTTTCATTCTTCTCCTCATAGTTTACATTTTGACACTTTTTGGAAACCTCTTGATCATCACACTGGTCTACTACCATAAAACCCTCCACACTCCGATGTACTTCTTCCTCATCCAGCTCTCCTTATCTGATATTCTGCTAACCACAGATATTGCCCCAAACTTGCTTCACACGTTACTTCATGGGGGTGGAACAATGTCTTTTACAGGCTGCATTTTCCAGCAATATGTTTTTGATGTGATGGAAGCTGCAGAGTGTCTTCTTCTGACCGTCATGTCTTATGACCGGTATTTGGCCATCTGTAACCCTTTGCATTATTCCTATCTGATGAGTGAGGTGTTTTGTATCAATCTTACCATCTTCACTTGGTTGTTGAGCATCGGTTCCATGTTGATTAGCACAATTACAATAGCCAGTCTTGATTTCTGTGGGCCCAATATAATTGACCATTTCTTCTGTGACTTTTCTCCGGTGGTAAAACTTTCTTGTTCAGATACATTCTTGGTTGAGTTAGAAATAACATTTTATAGCATACCTTTTATTTTATTGCCATTCTTTATCATTACAATATCCTATACGTATATTATTTTTACCATTTTGAAAATCCCGTCCAATACTGGGAAACAGAAGGTTTTCTCCACCTGCAGCTCTCACTTGTTGGTGGTTTGTCTATTTTATGGAACACTGATTGTTATTTATGTCTCTCCAACAAGTGGACAGTCGTTGACTATACACAAATTACTATCACTGGTCTATACAGTGGGGACACCACTGATGAATCCAATCATTTACAGTTTAAGGAACAGAGACATAAAGATGGCTTTTGCTAAGTTAAGAAACAATTTTGTTAATTTGAATTTAATGTGATACCGTTTATTGATCATTGTACAAGCCTTTTAAACATGGTGGCCTCTTCTTCAGGTATTACCTACAATACAACATTCTGCTGCTGATGACCATGGGCCACGGATACTTTCTATACAGTAACTTTAATCTCAATTGCCATTAAAGCTGACAGATTTTGAACCTGATTTAACAACTTCCAACCAACGTAGGCCTATGTGAATCCTTGGGAAGTGGTGGTGATATCTGGATGATGGCTGAAGCTACAGGCATCTCAGTGTTTAGCTCCAGTGAAGGTGTTCTGCCCTCACTATACGTGGTGGGGGGTATAATTAGACAGACAGATAACCCTTCTCCCTTAACAACTCATTGATGCAGGCGCTAGGTCCTCTTTTTAACTTTTATTGCAGGGAAGTTAGAGTAAAACTACAAATGAAAGAAATAACATTCAATCAGTGTATACAATATACAAAGTATACAGTCCTGACACACTAGTCTAGCTAGAAAGGTTTTTTAAAACATTCCGGAGATGTTTCCGATGACAACAGCTGACAACAGAACTGCAGCTGAATAAGTGTGTAGTCCTCTGGAGGAGATGTAAGATGGCTGGTAGGAAATGTCTCTAAGACCTCATGGTGAAGACCATAGGATGATGGGAAAACTACGGTGGCTTTTAAGCAACAAAACGTGTACCTACAGAAAATAATCTATAAAACTGTAATGCAAAAGAGCCACTAGATGGCAATATTACACTTTACCTTACATTCCATAGCATAATAAACTAACAATGGACATAACATAAAAATATGCTGAAGGCATGACAGAAGGACTTTTAAAGTAAACGTGATGGGAGTGTAAGCTGCTGGTTAACTACTTTTACAGGTGGTGGAAGGGGGCCCTCATCATTTCTAGGCTTTCCAATCCTACCAGGGTCACTGCTAGTGTCCCAGTGGCTGACCATAGATATGATCTTATCTTCCACCGATCATCTCTATGGTGTATGAAACTGGAAGAGACAAGGATTTTGTCATTTTCAACTTTGGTCTTTGTTTACTGACCATTACAGGCTAGTAAAATAGCCAATCAAACCAATCTTGGTTTGATCAATCAGCTGCTTTGGAGGGCAGAGGAGAGATCTGGGGTCTATTAGACCTGTCAAGGGATGTTGTTCATCTCTTGTGATAGCAATGACATTGATTAAAAATGTTTTAATTATTTGTGCTGTCTACAGCTCTGGACTGACTAGATCAGTCACTGGTCGTAGATGGGTGGTTTTGTAGGGAGATGTCCCTCCAGTCAGTTGTGCCCAAAGTTGGATACTGGTGGTAAACCCTCTTAGAGTTTGGGCTGCTGCCTTTCTGGTGCGGCCTTGAGGTCCTTTCCACACATATATTTGAAATAACAGAAAAGGAGCACCCAGAGTCCAAAAGAATTCACTTTTGATAGTAGATTAAGAGGCATTTATTGAGAGTAACAGTAAGTACACAAAACAAATAAAATGGTGTTGCTCTAATATCAATAGTACTAAGGACACAATAATTCGAAGAGTGGGGAGACAGAAAAAATAACCCCAAAACAAAGGTGATAAGTATAAAGGCCTGAATCCAGACCTAATTAGGTGCAATATGAACTGAGATAAAGACAACGTGTGTAATAATCAGCAAGTGTACATATATTATAAATAAAAATGTAAAGGCCTGGTCCCTGACCAAACTATGGATCACTATATTGATTGTGATGAAAACAACACACAATACTCAACAAGTGAACATAAATGATGTATTCAACATGGTAGGACTAACACGTTCTAAATAAAAGGGCACAAAAAGCTCTGTGCAAAGAAACCTGTGACAACCAAAAAGCAAAGAAATATATGTGCAAAACTAATCATACAAGATGCATGAAACTAAAAATGCACCTTATAATCAGGATTGATGCCAGTGAAAAACGCACAGTGGAAATAAACGTGCGTCAATAAGCACAAAAAAATAATGAAAGCAACGTGACATATAACAAATAATTAGTGACCATCAAAATAAACATAAGTGATCATCAAATCAGCATAAAGTCCATGGAAATAGACTGCCAACTCCAATTGAACAAAGCAACTGGGTGAAATGAATGATAAATCCATCACAGGCTAAAATGCCTCCTCACCTCCACGCCAAGACCCCAAGGGGCCAAACAGCTTTCAGGCCTCACACTCCCAGGGCCCTTAATAGACATCCAAGATGATAGAATGACACCGATCACAGGAATATGGCCTTCCTCGTCGTATAACCAGAATGATTTCAGTGGTGTTGAAACTGGTAATCCTTTTCACAGGAACATCAGCTGGCTCAGACGCACCCCAGAGGAGAAAGAGAGAGCGCTCCCATAGTGTAGTGATTTTTAAAGCAAAAACTTTAATGGAGAAATGCCAAATGAACACTTACATCACATCAGTTGAAATCAGGCCTCAAACACATGTATTGATATGAATAAGTATAAATCAGCACACATATATATAATAAAAATCCTCAGAAATCCCTTAAAGTCATATCAATATCCTTCCCCTGAAGTACTAATAAAACATATATTCATTGACTTAAACCCAAAAATCAAGACCCAAAGAGATTACCCAAAAATAAAAAATATCAAATATATATAAAAGAACAAAAATAAAATAAAGTCCCAATATGCAAAGTGTCCAAATAACGTGTCCAAACAAAGATCAATTTCTTGATAGGAAGACGCTTCCTACTCCACTGAAGAAGATGCAAATCAAACACAGGTGCTCTTCAAATACCTCAAAAAACAAAATCTCAACATAGTATATTACCTTTTAAATCCCAGAACTAAAGTGCCACACGTGTATCATGCAAAAAAAAAAAAACACACTCCAGTGTCACAGCACTCATGTGAAAAAAAAAAAAAAAAAAATTAAATATCACTGCAAACTATATATAAAAGTGCATAATTACCCTAAAACAAACAAATTCCAGCTTGTAATCAACCACATATGTACAGAGTGTCCTTAGATTGGTATCCTCTTGTTTCTCAGGACCTCACAAACAAACAGACCAGGAATCAGTATGTAAATTACAATCATATATAAAATTTATTGTAGCCACTTACATATAAAAACGATAAGATCAGCAAGACAGCATCAAACTCCTCATGCCCAGTATACGATCCCCTTTCCGTGTGTAGAGGGTCTCCCGATCACCAGGTAATTCCCCCTTGCTACTCCTATCCAGCACTATCACTTTGTAGCTCTGGGGGACACCTGAAGTGCACCGTTACTCTCCAGACTTCCAACACACAGGGATTCCAGAATCCAGAATGGCTGCCGCAGCACTTCCGGGAACGTCACGTGCCCTGCACGCGTTTCGTCTCTTCTGGACTTTGTCAACAAGGATCATGTATTGATATGGGTTTATACTTCTAGGGTGTACCAAAATGGCGGAGACCATCACCACGCTCAGCTAACAGACCCACACGTTACATCACTGTCCCGTGACTTCATAAGGGTACTGATGGATACTGGTGGTAAACCCTCTTAGAGTTTGGACTGCTGCCTTTCTGGTGCGGCCTTGAGGTCCTTTCCATACATACACTTGGAATAAAAGAAAAGGAGCACCCGGTGTCCAAAAGAATTCCCTTTCTGATAGTAGGTTAAGAGGCATTTATTGAGAGTAACAGCAAGTAGATCAAACCAACCTGTTTCGGGAGAAAAAGACTCAGCCTTCTTCAGGGCTATCAAACAAATACGAAAAATATACAGAGAAACAAATATATGAGAAAGGAAAAAAATGGTATGTATATTAAAAACACACACCTATATCTATCTATCTATCTATCTATCTATCTATCTATCTATCTATCTATTATCTATCTATCTATCTATTATCTATCTATCTATCTATCTATCTATCTATCTATTATCTATCTATCTATCTATCTATCTATCTATCTATTATCTATCTATCTATCTATCTATCTATCTATCTATCTATCTATCTATTATCTATCTATTATCTATCTATCTATCTATCTATTATCTATCTATCTATTATCTATCTATCTATCTATCTATTATCTATCTATCTATCTATCTATCTATCTATCTATTATCTATCTATCTATCTATCTATCTATCTATCTATCTATCTATTATCTATCTATCTATTATCTATCTATCTATCTATCTATTATCTATCTATCTATCTAATCTATTATCTATCTATCTATCTATCTATCTATCTATCTATCTATCTGTCTATCTATATATCTATTATCTATCTATTATCTATCTATCTATTATCTATCTATCTATTATCTATCTATCTATCTATCTATCTATCTATCTATCTATCTATCTATCTATTATCTATCTATCTATCTATCTATCTATCTATCTATCTATCTATTATCTATCTATCTATCTATCTATCTATTCAGTTGTATCTGACCCTTGGCGATTGCATGGACCATCACTTGTAAGTGACTTTTTCCATGAATTCTCTTAGCAATTATTTTACAGGGTAGGTTGCCAGGTCTTTCCCCATATATGTTTGAAATTGACACGTGGTGTGTTTTATTTAAAGACACAGTAATATTGGACACAATTTATGAAAATGGAGGATAAGTGCCTTGCATGTGATATTTTGAGAGATCATGCATTACCTTGTACAGTGTCATGTGGCATGCCTCATGTTTGAGTGTAAAAAAAACCTTCTGACACCGAAACATAAATATTTTCTCTACTATAGGCCGTGTGCCCAGGGCAACAAATGGAACCATGAGACTACATGATCAAAGTGCATCTTATATGGGTGAAAAGCACAAGGTGAAGGTAGGAAGGTTTATAATGCTTTTATAGTTTGACTTTTCTGGAATTTATCATGAGTGTGAATAAATGCCAATAAAAAGGGAGCCCTGAAAAGAAGAAAGTTAATTTTCAGTTTAAGTAAAAAGGGGACAATGTGCTTTGTTAGAGAGGCAAG